AGTTTGGATCTTTCTCTACAATTTGGAAGTTGTGATTATGGGTGAAGTAATTGGTGAAAGCAGCAAGATGACAGGCACAGTTCAAGTGGGTTTTCAGAACACTAAGATTAGTGTTGTGAAATATGACGGCAAGATCAATTTTGGTTTGTGGATGAGCGACGTACAGGATGCGCTCAATGCTCAAAATCTGGAGGAGACCATCATGGTCGATGTGAGGCCACCTAAATATGAAGAGGCGATATGGGAAAAGATGAATCGAAATGCTTGCGGGGTGATCAGGTCCTGTTTGGAACAGGAGCTGAAATACGATGTGATTGGGGTGACGTCTGCGATGAAGATGTGGGAAATTCTCAACAATAAGTACCTTACGAAGAGTGTTGAGAACCGGTTGCACTTGCTGCGAAGGTTATTCAGATTCCAGATGTCCAGAGGTACCTCGCTTGCGGCTCATGTGAACAACTACACTAAGTTGTTGTCGGACTTGGCGAACGTGGATGAGAAGATCACAGATGAGTACAAGGCTATTATTCTTTTGGGCTCCTTACCGGATGAGGAGTATGATACCTTCGTGCTTACGTTGCTGAACGGGAGATCTTCTATCACTTATAGTGAAGTGACTAACGCATTGACGAACTATGATTTGAGGAGGAAGGATAAGGAGACTTCCCGCGCTAGTACTTCAGGAGAGGCCTTGTCGGCGAGAGGTAGAAGCTCATATCAGAAAGGTGGAAACAGAGGGAGGTCAAAGTCAAGAGGTCGTCACCAGCTTGGAAAGAATCAATGTGCATTCTGCAAGGAGCAGGGACATTGGAAAAGAGATTGCCCGAAAGTCAAAGAAAAGGAGAATAGCAAGAATAAGGGCCCGAAGGCCAATGAGGTGAATGTTGCGAAAGGCGATGATTCCGATGATTCGAGCTTTTCTCTTTTGATTACTCCGGAGGTGAACCATTTGGATGCATCGGAGTGGATGCTTGATTCTGGCGCTACTTATCATGTGACTCCTAGGCGAGATTGGTTCTCATCATTTGAGAGACTCGATGGGGGTGTTGTGGTCATGGGAAATGATCAATCCTGTGGCGTTCGTGGGATAGGTACTGTGAGGATTCGGATGCACGATGGAGTAGTCCGTGAGCTGAAGGAGGTGAGATTCGTTCCTCAACTTAAGAAGAATCTTATCTCAGTGGGGGCTTTGGAGGCGAAGGGATTCAGGGTGACCTTTGAGGATGCTGTAGCAAAGGTTACTAAGGGATCTTTGGTGGTGATGAAGGGAGTCCGAAATCATAATTTATATTATCTGAAGGGGAGCACCGAGATTGGCCAGGTTGCTTCGGCGATTTCAGAGGCGGACATGAGCAGACTTTGGCACTACAGGCTAGGGCATACAGGTGAAAAGTCACTGCAGGCATTGTGCAAGCAGGGGCTTTTGAAGGGAGCCAAGAGTGGTAAAGTAGAATTCTGTGAGCACTGTGTACTTGGCAAGAAGACGAAGGTGAAGTTCGGGACGGCCATTCATAGGACGAGGGGCATCTTGGACTACGTGCACACAGATGTTTGGGGTCCCACTAAGACGGCATCACTTGGTGGTCGACATTGGTTCGTCACGTTCGTTGATGACTATTCTAGGCGATGTTGGGTGTACACCATGAAGCATAAGAGTGAAGTCCTAGATTTGTTTGTGGAGTGGAAGAAGAGATTGGAACTGCAGACTGGGAGAAAGATCAAGACGTTGCGATCCGACAACGGCGGCGAGTATACCTCAGACCCCTTTCTGCAGCTATGTCGAGACGAGGGCATAGAGAGGCACTTCACAGTTAGTCATACACCGCAGCAGAATGGGGTGGCGGAGAGATTGAATCGGTCTTTGCTGGAGAAGATTCGATGTTTATTGGCGCATAGTGGTTTGGAGAAGATCTTTTGGGCTGAGGCACTTTCTTATGCGAGCCACCTCATTAACAGGCTGCCTTCATCTGCGATTGAGGGGAAGACCCCTATGGAGATGTGGTCGGGAGAGACAGCACATGACTATGACCAGCTTAAGGTATTTGGTTGCCCTGCATATTATCATGTTAGAACTGATAAGTTGGAACCTCGAGCTAGGAAGGCCATATTTGTAGGATTCAAGCGTGGTGTCAAGGGATACAAGCTTTGGGATCCAGTTGATAAGAAGATTGTGCTGAGTAGGGACGTCACATTCGATGAGGCTTCTATCTTGAAGCTTCCCAGCTCTCATCAGGTGGAGAGCAACCCGACAGAGGAGATTTCGCAGGTGGTGGAGATTGATGCAGCTCCACAGAGTCCAGATAGTGCAGTATCCATGAGAGTGCCGACTGAGGTGACGCCAGGCGAGCACGACGGTGATGCGGAGGATACGGGTACTCATGAGCAGGATCAGGGACCGACGGCTCAGGTTCAGGATTCTATTGCGGCACGGAGACAGAGGAGAGACATACGGGTGCCAGCACGGTATGCCGACACAGTTGCATATGCACTTCCGGTGGAGAGTATCGATGAGATGGTGCCTACTACATTCAGAGAGGCCGAGCAGAGTTCGGAGGCTGATTCGTGGCAGGTGGCTATGCAGGAGGAGATGGAGTCTCTTCACAAGAACGATACATGGGAGCTTGTAGAGCTTCCAAAGGGGCGGAAGGCGATTGGGTGCAAGTGGGTGTACACGAAGAAGGAGGGCATTGAGGGCACTCCAGTGAGGTTCAAGGCTAGGTTGGTTGCGAAGGGCTATGCACAGGAGGAAGGTATTGATTACAATGAGGTTTTCTCTCCGGTGGTGAAGCATTCGTCGATTCGGATTTTGCTAGCTTTGGTGGCACAGTATGGATTGGAGTTAGATCAGTTGGATGTGAAGACAGCATTTCTTCATGGTGATCTTGATGAAGAAATATATATGACTCAGCCATTGGGATTCCGAGCTGCAGGGAAAGATAAGTTGGTTTGCAGGCTAAAGAAATCGCTATACGGTTTGAAGCAGTCTCCTCGACAGTGGTATAGGCGATTTGATGGTTTTATGCTTGGTCATTCGTACACTCGGAGCCAGTTTGATCCTTGCGTGTATTTTCGCAAGTTGAGAGGAGGTGCGTACATTTATTTGTTGCTTTATGTCGATGACATGTTGGTTGCTTCTAGTTCCAGGTCAGCTATAGATGAGTTGAAAGTTCAGCTTTCGAATGAGTTTGAGATGAAGGACTTGGGCGAGGCGAAGCGCATTTTAGGGATGGAGATCGGCAGAGATAAGAAGAAGGGCAGGATTTGTTTGACACAGGTGGCTTATTTGAAGAAGGTTCTACAGCGATTCCATGTTAGCATGGATACGAAGCCAGTTTGTGTACCGTTGGGAGCCCATTTGAAGCTTTCAGCTGGCCTTTCACCGAAGTCAGTTGAAGACCGTGAGTTGATGACGAAGACTCCATATGCGAGCGCAGTTGGGAGCTTGATGTACGCGATGGTATGTACGAGGCCGGATTTGTCACAGGCGGTGAGCATGGTGTCGAGATACATGCACGATCCAGGAGTGGGTCATTGGGACGCCGTGAGATGGATTTTGAGGTACATTAGAGGTACGCTCAATGTTGGTTTGGTTTATGAGCGGGACACTACAGGTGGGCAGCTATGCATTGGCTATGTTGATTCGGATTATGCCGGGGATTTGGATAAGCGCCGGTCTACTACGGGGTATGTGTTCACTTTGACCCGTGCGCCGGTGTGTTGGAGATGCACCTTACAGTCGACGGTGGCTTTGTCTACGACGGAGGCAGAGTATATGGCAGTTACGGAGGCTGTGAAGGAGGCTATTTGGCTTCGAGGACTTTTGGAAGAACTTGGTATATCGCAGCGATCCGTCACTATTCATTGCGATAGCATGAGTGCTATATATTTGGCGAAGAATCAGGTTTTTCATGCGAGGACGAAGCACATTGACGTTCGTTATCACTTCGTTCGGGATGTTCTTGAAGATGGCGATGTGGAAATTGTGAAAGTCCACACGAAGGATAATCCGGCAGATATGCTCACTAAGGTGGTTCCGAGCAACAAGTTTGATCATTGTCGAAACTTGTTGCACATTCGTAATTGTTGAGGCCGTTGGCGGCCATTTGGATGAACTACGGGCGGCTTGATCCCTTGGGAGAGGGGGTACGTAGGCAACCACATTGGTGTAGCCGAGTTTGGAGAGACGACACATTGGTGCTCATGTTTGTGTCGGCTCATTGTTGGGAACACTTTGCCGAGGTGGAGAATTGTGAAAACGGCGAAGGAATTGTGAAAAACGTGAAGAATAACTCAAAACAGGCTCCACCACACCCTGGTGTGGTGTCTGCCATGGGTGTGGTAGAGTCTGTCCTGCACCACACCCTCTGCCACACCCACGGTGCAGGGTGTGGCAGAATCTGTCCTGCACCACTCCTGCACCACACCCTCTGCCACACCCATGGTGCAGGGTGTGGCAGACTCGTTTTTAGAATCCTTATTTGTTGAGGAATCCTCCTTTGTTTGGGATTGTGTTTTATTATAAATAGGACCACGTTTTTTAGGGTTTCTAAAGGAGAGAAAAGAAGAGATTTAGCATTGTTTTGAGCACTTTGAGAGGGAGATATTGTGAGGGAGTTGAGAGCTTTGGTTAGGGTTATATTTGAGTGATTTTGTGAGTTGTAACCCGTTGTATTTCTCCTCCATATAGTGAAATCTCCCCATCCTCTCCCCGTGGACGTAGGCAATTGCCGAACCACGTATATCCTTGTGTTTGGTTTGATTTGTCGTAATTGGCTTGGTTTGTGCAAGTGTTTGGCTTTCTTCTACTCGTGATCACAGGTTCGTTGTGAGTTCGTGCAAGGCTTCCGCAAAGGCGCGCGACAGTTATCAGCTACGTTTATAGTTGCAGATATGAAATTAACCAACTAGGTTGAAGATAAAGATTCTAAACAAAGTAGACAAGTTTGCCTATCAATGTCAATATGAAAAGGGAACAAACAATGCAGATGCGCGTGATGTACCTGGCAATCAGGTTGCCCGACTCTTTCGGGCAGTTCCGCTCTATCCTGAGTTCCCTACAGCAAACAAATACAAACAAACATCGATGCATTCATGTATCAATGCTTTCCTAATTTCAATCAACTGAGAGCAATTCAATTTAGCATTTATCGCGAAATCAAACAGCTGCAGTCAGAGCATAATTCCCCTCACCTGCCCGTTATAAGTTGGGTGATTATAACGACAGTTACTTCCATATCCACAAAGCCCTGTCCTCAAATAGTATATGCAATCGGGCGCTCCGGGGCGATCCGGGTACAGGTTTTGATTACCATCCAAACCCTCCTGCTTGCTATCCTCAACTTTCAACCTCCAGATAGCGTCTACAAAAAAAAACATACAACTTTCGGTAGATCAATCAAAATCTAACGAAACGGCAGATATGATCGGATCTATTAGAGGAAAAGGAATCACCTTCGAGGTTCTCCGGCGCCGCGCCATTGGACGAACTCGACACCACATTGTTCTGAAACTCTCCATGATCCGGCATCGATGAGGTTTTTCCCCCCAAATCCCCGATCCAAAACCCTCAATCCCACAAAATTAGGGCAACCGAATCGATTCCGAGCTGAGATTCGACCGATTCCACCCGCGATCAGCTCGAATCAGCAGATGATTCGACCTATCAGCATTCAGATATCAGAGTCCGCCGAATTCCACAGATCTTGATAAGTCGATCGATCGATTACGATCTAAGTTGCTTCACTATCTCTCTATCTGAGAATTTAATGAAAGGAATTTGGGAATGGGGCTTTCTTTTTTTCCCCTTTTTTCTCGAAATATTTATATTTTTTCTCGACAGCGACAGTCCTTTTTTTCTTCTGTGGAATCGAGACTTACGACTAAAATTACTATTATTTAATTCCAGTTAATTAAGATATAAATACATACCATTTACAATGTAATTATTATACTTGTGTTTATGTAGATGGGATGGAAAATACAGAGGGAGGTGTCGCCGTAAACGCGCGCGAAATCGCTCGGGAGCGCTGCGGTGACGTCAGCAGCCCCACGTGGGATCGTACGGACAGGAGGATGGGCTGTCGGGTTCGGACACTGGCTCAGCAGTTAATTTGCGGTGACTGGTAAGACTTTGAGAGGGGACAAGGACGGAAAGTGGGGCCCGCCGCTTTGGAAAAAGGTACGCTGAAAAATCTTTCGCAGAAAGATCTGGACACGTGTAAGTAATTCGGCCTAACACGCGAGACAGCAGATCTGAGTTCCGTTCACACGGTCCACGTGATAATGCACCGGATTCGGGTTAACGGGAGATGTTTTTCTTTGACCCGAATTGGTGGGCCCCGGTTTCATTGCGACGCGCATATTCGTTTCTTCGGTGGATTCGGGGGCCTTGGACGTGACGTTTTACTAACCGCCCTTGGATTCGGGTCTAACTGGACTAGGATCCAAAATCCAAAAATGCTTGAGTCGATTTATACTAAGATAGTGGATTATAATTACAAGCAGACCTCGAGTATTTTTGCGATCTGAAACTTATTATCCGTGTAGTTTGACATTTGCAATAGAATTTTTGAGATTTGTAGCAGGTAGACTTTCTGCACTATCGCACTCTGCACCCTCCGGTACTCATGGTTCGCTCCATCTTCTCTAAAAATAGTGTGAACCATAATATTATTGTTCGGTTCAGTTCTAACAATCTACTTGGAAAATTTGAACTGTAAAGATAGTAAATTTTTAAAGAATGATAATGCATCGATTCTATGGCGCAAATCTCTTATCTGAGATCATCTCTACTCTCTAGTACTTGTGGCTCAGTGTTGATCCCTTTTCAAATAGTTCAATTCCTCCTCAATTTATCATGTCCGTAGATTGGGAAATTCTTACGTTCAAGACTTAGCTCAGTTCGCTTTAGATATCTATGTACCGTCTTTTCTGATTCTCCGGATAATTCATATTGTATCTATAATTAACTCATTCTTGAAGTATTTCCCTATAATCTTTCTTAATTCTTAAACAATAAAAAGTCTTATTTAAATTATTGATCAATTTTAGTGGATCGGGATTATATTAATCTATGGCTGAATTATTTGTATCTTATTTTTTAGGTAATTTAACCGGATTGGTGCGGTTAGATATGTATATAGGGCCGAATTGGATAGGAGTTTTGGGATAAGGCCTCGAAAATGACTCGTCATAAATATGGTTAGTAGTTGGTGTTATGCTTTTGTTTTATAGCAGACAGACGAATGATGTGGAAATTGGTTATGAAAGTTACTGCTCACTGTATTTGGAAGTATCTATATACTATTACTAAAAGTTGTTATCTTTTAATTCGCCACTTGGCAAAAATGCCATTTGGCAAAAATGTCTTATGCCATTTTAAATAACACTTGGCAAACATATCAATTGCTATCTTCTTGCAAGTACCACTTGTCAAGTTTCTACAAAAGTTCTCCATATTTAATTTGAAATAAAAAATAAAAAGTTCTCCTTGAGATTTGAACTAACTCTCCCTGTCTTTTCAATTTTCCAAACAAGATGCTTCGTAAACTGTTTGAACGCTTCGTAAACTGTTTGTATTCTTTTGCTACATCAATTTTTATATTAAACAAATCCGTGCATCGCACGGGCCTGAAACTAGTTTTACATTAGTTGTGACCTTGTTGGATGGAAATTGGCTAGGTCAAATCAGATAATTGTACTTTTTTAAAAAATTTATTATTATGCTTAAAAAATAGATTTCTCTCACAAACTATATTTATGTATGAAAAAATAAGTATGTTTGGTACCAAACACAAATTTTGTGATTGGTATCAAGCACAAATTTTGTGTTTGGTAATGGGGTGTCATATTCTCATCCATTCATTCTAATTCACAATCATTTTCCAACCCATGTGAATGTGAGCCTGATTTCAATGAGTGGAGAGGAATATATCACTCACTACCAAGCACAAAAACTTGTATTTGGTACCAATCATACATTTTTTCTCTTTATATATTTACCAATGTTATTGGGTCTAAAACTGTAGGTAGTTTTTTCAAACTACAATAGAATTATCTAATATATATATTGAGATAGTTATTAAATCATATTTGTTAAAGTAGCCTAGTTGGTATAGTCCTACCTTATGCTAGATAAGTGGACATTGGACCGCGTTTGATTCCCTCAAACTTCTACCTTTTTTCAACCTTTACTTAAAATAATCCTTTTCGTTATGAGTCTTTAAATCTTTTATATTTTTAAATTAAATCTCTTGAATCATGAAAATTATTATTAATTTCAACAATTCTTAAGTTAATTAGAAATTGATCTCTCAAATCATTAAAATAAGAATTAGGTTCCTTAATTCTTAAAATTTATTTTGAAATTATTTCTTTTAATAAAATGTAGAAGTAACAACTAATGAGATTAATTTAAAAAAGATTGTGAGAAATAGAGGACCTAAAAACATTGCTATTAACTCGAGGGACTAATTTCAAAATAATTTAAAATACGGGAACACAATAGCAATTTCAATTATTTTGAAGCCTATCTAATTTAAAACAATATATTTATTTTTTTATTTTAAGTGATATGCTCAAAGTTTACCCTTATTTTATTATAAAAAACATGTACTTCAGCCTTTTTTCCCCCTTCCAATATTAATATCTCACGACTCTCATATTTTAAAACGAATAACTTAAATCATGAAAAATTCTATCATGCTCGATCGATTCTTAACTCATTCAGAGTTGACCGCTCAAATAATTAAAATTACTATTAGATCATTCAGTTCTTAAATTATTTTGAAATGATCCTCTAATAAATAATAGAAGTAGTAACTGGAGTCATTAACTTGAAATGATTACGAGAATCGTGAGATCTAATGAAAAATTCAATGCTTTGAGGGATTGATTTGACGATAAGTAATTTATGTATATTACAACTCCAAAAAATATTTTCATCCACAAATTTTTAAAAAAAATTCTAAACAAATTATTTAACAATTACTTTTTGTACTTCTTCACACAAATGCCCCGGCAATGCGCAGGTCAATTTTGCTCGTTTAAAACGGGACCGGCAACGCGCATGTTAACTTTGCTCGTTTAAAACGGGATCATTCTAAAGAATACACCTTTCATTGACAATTTATACACAAATCATCTTTGGAGGATTGTTTTTTTAATTATGCAATCAACCACATGAATTTACTTTTTAATTAAGTTTTCTTCGACAATTCACCCCACCCGATCTTAACTAAGAATCATCTCTCTAATATACTCGGCATTTGTCAATTAATAATTATCATAAAATCTAAATTTTGTGATGTAAAAGTGAGTCATTGTTGTTTATTACAACAAAAAACTGTTTAAATGTGGTTTACATATAACTTTAAAATCAAACGTGGCTTTTATAAAATTATCCTATTTAAAAAGTGGTTTCTATGAAAACCCCTAGCTGGAAAAGTGTATTTATGGTGTTTAAGATGTATCGAACACTGTTTGCATGGCTATAGATCTTCTACCTTTTTGTTGTATGAAAATTTTTAATCACCAATAAGAAAGAGCATGTTTGAGAATTTAAGAATATAATGTATTTGGGATTATAATCCAAATAGATTAATCTAGAGCGTTTGGTAAATTTACTGCATTATAATCTATTTTAGTTTTGTTGCGCAGCCAGCCCTTAACTTTTTCATTCACCAATAGCATCTCTTCATTCGGTGGACTGCTAAAGCATGGGCTTCGGCTTGTTCCGCAACTGTTGTGCCTCGAGAAACCAAAACAATCGCCAAGAAAGATAAACAACCAACCAAAATCAACAGCACAAACAACCAAACACCAGTTTTACGTGGTTCGGCAAGATGCCTACGTCCACGGGGCAAGGAGGGGGGAGTTTTCACTATTAGAAATCAAGAGGAACAAACTAGGGTTACAAATCTCTCATAAACCCTCAACAATCAACTCTCAATCTCTCCAATTGCTCCTAGAATAGAAGCCCAAAGAAAACTCTCTCAATCTGCTCAAATTCGTCCTTGCTCTTAACCCTAAAAAACACCCAAAGGGTATTTATACAAATCCAAAACGAATCGGGTCGAAAACCTAAAAGCCCAGCCCAAAACAGCGTCGGTCGACCAGACCGGTCGACCGCCGACCGGACCGGTCGACCGCGATCAATTCCGGTCGACCGGCCCGGTCGACCGACCAGCTCTCAGTAGAAAACCCAAACTCCAGAGAACCGTCGGTCGACCGCACCGGTCGACCGATCTCCTTCCAGACGCACAGGAAGCCTTGTGCACGAATGCGGTCGACCGGGCCGGTCGACCGCCACCCTGACAATCTGAATCCTGAGCTTATCTCTTCAAATCTCCACCTCGGCGAAGATTCTACCAAACTGAGCCGACACCGATCAAACCAATACCTCAACTGTTGCACCCAGTATGCCATGGCAACGGACTCATGACAACGGACTCCAATCACAACACGTCGAGATCCAAAACGGGAGTGCGAACACTCAACCCCAAACCAACTGTGTCTACTCACCAAACAACTGAACCTACACCGACTACACCAAATGTCTCACTTGCTGAGACCCAAATGGGAGTGCGAACACTCTCCCCAAATGTCGATGTCGCTCACCAAATCGGCTGCATCATAAAGACTGCCTATGTATCCTCTTGCCCAATGAATCAAGCCTTCACGTAGTTCACCACATGGGCCTCCAAAGGCCCTCAATCCATCATGCGGCTGATAGTATCATCAACGACCTCAAACTGAAGTGATCCAAACACCTCCACCTGAGATGTAACAATGGCCGTATCCAAAACATATCCATCAGCTACATCCAAATAAACTACCTCATCATCT